GAAAAATGCAAAAAAATGGATATAAAAAAGAATATGACGGTTTTAGAAAGTTCTTTAAAAATTGTTCCAATTATCACATTTATGCATAGCTTGAATTCGTTACAGCTTTATTAATCTAAATAAAGATACTTTATTATTTCTATACTTCTTAGCTATAATATTTATTAACAGTGATTAGAGACTTGTTTTTAAAATTATTTAATACCACATTTATTTAAACACGTTTTATTCAAAAATAGCAATTTTTCAAGAAAATGTATATCAAGAAAATCATATCAAGAAAATTATTTTTTAAAGTGTGGTTATTATTTGGCAAGATCTTCTTTTAAATTTACTAAATCTTAAACACATTATAATGTACGCATGGGATATTTCAAAAAATCCAAGTTTTTGAAAGTTAAAAAAACACAAATACACATTGAAAGCAAAAGCGAAAAGAATAAGATCAAATTCAATTATTTTTCCTACACTGTTAAAAAATACCAAATCAAATTACGTTAAAAAGTACCTGCACTCAGAGTGCCGGTACTTTTAACCGTAAACTCCATTTTTCCTAGAGCAAAATAATATAATTTTTACAGTAAAATCACTAAATCAGTATAATTAAATAAATATTACTGTAAGATATTTTACGTTGAGAATTTGTTGTACTGTAAAATGGATTTTACAGATGATACAATCAAAGTGCCGGTACCTCATACTGTAATTTGATCCGGAATATTTTACAGAATACAATGATAGAATATAACAAAGTGTTATAATTGTTACCTAACATAAAAAAGTACTTTAAATTAGGAAACAAAAATTTAGCTAATGTTGTCCTTTTAGAGACGTTATTAGGATCAAATTTTAATATAGAAAAACTATAAATTAAATTTTAAAAAAAATTTGTGATAAAAGTCATCCAAATTGTTTAGACCAAAATGAAAGTAAATTAAAAAATTACGAACAATCTTTACTTACTGATGATCTTACAGCTTTCAAATCCTATGAATTCTAATAGGATAATATTTCGATTGTTGATCCATGAATTTTCGTAAATTTAAAAAAAAAAGCTTTTCCAAATGCTTAAAACAATATTATATTTTGTATTCGTTTCGTAATGAATAAGAAACAATTTTTATCTCAGGTAACAGGTTTGAAATATATTTGTTTTTCAAAAATTAATTCACAAACAAGAACGTGTAACAACAAAATTTTAATAAAGTTTAGCTGAAATGTAAAAAGTGAACTTTTTAATCGATATTCAGCGCAATAATTAAGTTATTCCATTTTTATTTACAAATTAGATATTTTGTCAAATCTCACACTCTTTTTGAGTAAAAAATACCTTATTTTGCAGACAATATTTTATGGTTCTTTTTTACCATAAAATGAATACAAATACAATAAACTTAAAATACACCTGTGGTTTTCACATTTAATTAAAAACTAAACTTCCAACTCGCCTTGCTACTTAATTTCCAACTGAAGAAACAACAAAAAAGTAGGAAAACTTGAAAAACTGTATTAATAAGCAAATTTTCTTGAACATCTTTACTTGAAAGATGCATTAATAATCAAAATAAATTTTCGTGATTAAAACTTTTAAGAAAAAAAAACTATTTTATTGGGAAGGAAATATTTCAAATAAAAAAAAATTCTTTTATAAATAAAAAACTGTCAACCAGATTAAGGTTTTAAGAAATGCTCTATATCAATTGAAGGGAGAAAAAAATATTTAAATACCGCCGATCTATTCTTTTGAAGTACGCTCTTTTTATTTCAGTAACCATAATCTCGTAGAAATTAATTAATCCAGAAACTCATTAAAATAATGAAACCAGCGCAGTTATTATTAGTTCTAATTTATTTTTCAGGCATTTTTGAACTTCTCCCAAGTTAACCGTAGCAGGATTTATTTTATGATACTCATTAATTTATTTCAGAAAGTAAAATTTTCCGTATTGTAATCATATTCTCGTTTATTTTATATATATATTTATTTTTTTTTTCATTGCGTAGAATTTGTTTAAGTTAATCTCATTTCATGGTGATTTCTCATGATAAAAAAAGGTATCAACAATTTTTTTTAAAAGATGAAATTAATTTTTAAAACTGTAATTTTGTATTCACACGAAATAACTTTTTGCACCAGCTTGACTACCCAAAGTTTAATTTCAGACTAATAAAATGTGTAAAATGGAGAATTAAAATCAAATTATATGCATCAGTCAATGCATCATGCAACTATGGACTGTAGCAACTGTGGAAGAAGAAAGAAAGAAAGAAAAAAATTTCCTTTGCTCAAATAATTTTGTTTTCATTATTAAAAGAATGGGACATATCACGAAAGTACCTTATTTTAAATTAAATATTGCAAGCAGATTACGATAAATTAAGTAATGCAATTTAATATTACACGATGCGTTACTGTTGTTNGCATCAGTCAATGCATCATGCAACTATGGACTGTAGCAACTGTGGAAGAAGAAAGAAAAAAATTTCCTTTGCTCAAATAATTTTGTTTTCATTATTAAAAGAATGAGACATATCACGAAAGTACCTTATTTTAAATTAAATATTGCAAGCAGATTACGATAAATTAAATAATTACACGATAAATTAAGTAATGCAATTTAATATTACACGATGCGTTATTGTTGTTGACGTTTAGGCAGAGGGGGTGCGATTGTTCTTGTTTTCCAGTGGCGCCGTCTATGGCCAAGAATTCAACTTCTGCCACACCATGCGTCACACCCGTTTATAGGGCGGACTCATTCATATATCCATTCATTCATCCACAGATCGTAATTTTGACCAGAATCAGAGAACGATCGATCTCCAATCCAGTACCCCCAGAGGTAATAATTTGTTATGGGAACATGGAGGACTTTTGCGACTCGACAGATTTCATCGTGCATCAGTCACTTTACTACACGAGTCTTCGGCCGGCTGGGTTCGAACCCACGAACTCTCGGACATGGGCCCAGCGCCCTACCGACCAGGCTATCCCGACCTTTACACGATGCGTATCGATCATTAATCGCTGGGATTCGAACCCGACTAACCTCATTGGGAAGCGATCGCTCTATCTCCTGAGCCGCCACAATAACTATCGTCTTAATAAATAATCTTAAAATAAAAGAATATAATATGGTTGAATACACTTACAGTTACCTTATTTACTTTTTTATATACTTTTCGCCATTTGAAGTTTGATCACTAAGGGCTCCATTGCTGAAAAAGAATTGGAAAGCCATGTTTTAAGGAACTCGAGTATGATACAAATTTCAGTTTCCCTGTTCAGAAGTTCAGAATGTAAAGTAAGAACAAACAAAAAAAATTATCAATGAAATGTAACATTGGTATCTCCCAGAATCTACATAAATAGCAAATCAAAGGCTGAGTTGAAAATTGAATATATTTTTATTTATCAATGAAAATTAGGTTCCTTGTGTAGATTCCGGGAAATCTAAATGTTGCACTTCAAGTATAATTCTTTTTACTGTAACTTTACATTTTTGATCCGTGAGGTGTAAATAATGCGTTTCAAATATAATGTTTAATAATTTAAAAATATTAGTAGAATAAAATAATATATTTCAAGGGAAAAAAAATGAAACTTCATTACTTTTATCCTCCCCCCAAAAAAATTAAAAATTAGAGCCCATTCATAAAGGCTCTAATATTTTTCAATTTCCCTAAAAACAATTTGAAAAACTTATGAATACCTTTTATCTACTCAAAATTTTGAATTTCGTGGAAAGGTTTTACGCAATAGTTTCTACAAAAGAATAACAGGAGAAATTTTGTATCAAATATGTAGATTTTTTTTTATCCCTTATTTGTGATAAAGTGACAATCTGTCCAAATTTTTTTTCGTAAACTTACACGGATGCACAGATTTTGATCCATTTTTCGATGCTCAAAACCATGTTTTCAAGATTGAGCCTCTTCCATAAAATTTGCCAATTGAATAATCCAGAAGACAAGGGAACTCTTGGATCAAAAATAGGGAGAAATTTGCCTTCAGTGGAATTAACTCGCTTTTGTGTTACATGGTGAGGAAGACCACGAGAACCTCCCACGATTAGCCTGATGGCAAAGGTACTCTAACCCATGATCCGTCTACTACTGAGGATATTTTACGTCAACACTGTGGTCGGCACAAGACGCGGGAAGAATTTGATTTAACCAGTTAACGCTGGGATCGAACCTATGTCACCTCATTGGGAGGCGAGCGCTTCATCCCCTGAGCCACCGTGGCTCTTTCCTCAGTTATAAAGAATATTTCTTATTAAAATTAAAGATTTGCTTAAACATAAACAATTTTATATGAATAATTTATGTTATTCATACAAAATTGTTATATATATTATGCTATTTATGTGATGAAAAATTCTAAAGCATAGTTCTAATAATAAGAAAGATATTGTACAACGTTTTCTTGCTCACCTAACATCAAGAAAAATGATACTCCTTTCTAGTACTCACCATTCTCTTGGAATTCGAAAACAAACTACTTAATTTCTTTCTTTTTTTTTCAATTTATTATTTCTTAAAATCAAAAATTCATTCCACTCTTTAAAAACCATAGTATATTCGCTTTTGATTCAAATATTTATGTGTTTTGAATTAATAAACGAGCTAGTGCATTCAAAGTTTATTAAAATAAAAACAGCGGAGATTCTTCAATTTTTTTCAAGAAAGTTTCAAATCTCTATTTTATTAGCTGATTAAATCAATCTGGAAAAGTCGAAAAATGCAATTTATAAAATGGTTTGTGAAAAAGTAAAAATATTGTTTCCTCCCTAAATAAATTTTTCTTTCGTTAATAAATAGAACATAGTTTGATTTTAAACAATAAAATTTTATTTGTATATAATTTCTAAGTTGTATAAAATTTTAAAACAAATTTTTAAGTTGTTTTGATGAAAAAATAACGAAAACAAAATAGTGTTACTCTACACTTATACTTTAATATTAACGAAAACAAAAGTCTTAATATAGGTACTTACCATCCTTTTTAAATTCGAAGTAAACTACTTATTTTCCGATTTTCATCCGAAATTTAATCCCCGATTTAAAAATTAAAGCAGCTTAAGTATTTATTCAAATATTTACGAGCTGATAGTAACTCTTGAGTCATTAAACGAGCTTTCGCATTCAGAAGTTCCACGACAAGTAAAATTTTAATTAGATAAAAACAGCAGTAACATGTTCATTTGTTTTCGAAAAAGTTTCGATTCTTTACATTATTTGAAGAAAAAGTCAATTATACAAATCTATTAACTAAGAAATGAAAGAACTAAAACATCGCTCTCAAGAGAAGAAGATTCCAATTCCATAAAAAAGAATCGTTTGTTCTAAAACTTTTTGTTTTCTAATCTAAACAAACTATTTTCAAAGTTCTGTTGTCTCTAACGCTTCAATAATTGGATTGGCTTGAAACCGGGAGACACGTCTTAAAGAATAAAGATGACGCTTGGAATTGAAATTTGGAAATAAATGGAAAGATCAACTTTGCTGCCGGCAAACTGGAGTTTTCTGTCAGTTTGTTTTCACCTCTAAATCTGATGATTTTTGTAAATTGCACCATTATTTTAAAAGTCATCGGCAGTTAATATCAAACAACCGTTTTCTTAGAACAATGAGAAATGTTTAGTTAAAAATTAAGTAAATTTTAGTGGAGATTTTTTTCAATATGTTACTCTGAATGAAGGTAAGAGATTTTTAAAACAATTAAAAAAAAAAAAAAAAGACTGAAGTATTTTTATTTTGATAAACTTCGAAGGCAAATATTTTACGAAAAATACAATTATTTATTTTTTGCAAAAATGGAGGAAAAAATGTTCTTACAAAGGGATCAAAATTAAAAATTGTGGTTTATTCTCTGATTTATAAATGAACCACAATTTTTAATTTTTATGAACAAGAAGTCTAACTTTAATATTTAAGGTCAGCTCGAATTTTTTTCTCTTTTAGAAAAGATATTGAATTTTAAAAATAATTTTGCGGACAAAATAAAACTTAAGAATTGTGGTTTATTCTATGATTTATTAACGCATAAAATAATTCTAATGTTTAGAGTTAGTTTTGAAATTGTTTTCTTCTACATTTTAAACATATTTTTGAATAGTTAGTATTTTTTAATTTTAATTTTATAGATAAAAATCAGTTAACTTTAAAATTTCAAAAATACTTTTTGAGGGAATTACTGATATGAATCTTTTATATTGAGAATGAAACAGCAAGATGAATTCCAGAAATTATCAACGATTTAAAAAAAAATAATTAAACGAAAAGTTGGATTAGCTGTATTCTGCTTGGTAAATGAGTTTTAAAATATTTTCTCAGAAAGTTTGTCACAGTAGTGGGCAAAGGTGTAAAGAAGCACGACGACAACACTTCGATTAGATTCCCCTGAAAAGAGTAATGTAACCAATAAAGGGGCAAAAGAGAAAGAAAAAAAGTATTTAACAAAATATTGAAAACAAATTATTCATTAAATTTAAATCCATATTTCAAACTATTTTTTGACGCAAAATTTTTTCTAAGATAAAGATTTTATCATTTTAAGAGTAATTTTACGTTCATCTTAAGCATAAGGAATATTTAAATTTTAACGACTGAATTTTAATGAATTTTTTTGCTTAAAAATCATAGTTTAATACTTCATAAAGTATTGTGCTTGAACAATGCTCTCGTTATCCGTTTAAAAAACTTGGTTTCATAATTAAAATAATTGCAATTTAAATTTTAATGACCTAATTTTTTTTTGTTCAAAAATCATAATTTCATTTCATAAAATATTTTGCTAGTGCCATACAGTAATCTGTTTAAAAATTTAATTTAAAATAATTAATTAGTTAATTTTAAATAACTAATTAATAGTTAATTTCAAATAAAATTAATTAAAATAATTGCAATACGTTTCGAGTTGCGCTCTTACCGATCAAACATATGACCCCTTTGACTGAATGTCTATTGTGGCAGCAAATCCCACACTCACTTCACTGTACGCCACTGGTTCGCCAACAGTTGGCTCTGTTAACTGAAATCACTATAAAACCACATTACCAGGGCCGGGATAGCCTGGACGGTAGGGCGCTGGGCCCATGTCCGAGAGTTCGTGGGTTTGAACCCCGCCGGCCGAAGACTTCCCGTGTAGTAAAGTGACTGATGCGCGTTAAATCTGTCAAGTCGCAAAAGTCCTCCATGTTCCCATAACAAATCAATACCTCTGGGGGTACTAGATTGAAGATCGATCGTTCTCTGATTCAGGTCAGAATTACAATCTGTGGATGAATGAATGGGTCCGCCCTATAAACGGGAGGGACGTATGGTGTGGCAAAATTCGAATTCTTGGCCATAGATGGCGCCACTGGAAAATAAGATCAATCGCGTCAACCTCTGCCTAAAGAGGCATACGTCAACAACACCACATTACCTGATTGAAAACTTCATTCGCTTTAAATAAATAAGAAATAACAGTCCATATGTTCCGAGCGCTTCAAAAATAGGCGCCCATTTTCAAAACTTGCCAGATGCTTTCTGCTACGTGTCAGACCATTCTAACTGAAATATTTGTGCGGGCGTCAGACAATATTTTCTTCAGAGCCGAGGTGGCTCAGGGGATAGTGTTCACCTTCTATTGCGATTACCTAGGTTCAAATTCTAGCGATGGCTGGTTGATACGAACTTTGTTCCAGGCTCGAACCGACCACATTGCTGACACGTAAAATATCTTTAGTGGTAGACGAATAATAACTTAGAATCCTCTTGCCATCCAAATAACCATGGAAGGTTCCGTGGTTTTCCTCGACAAGTGACGCAAATGCGGGTTATCTCCATCAAAAAGTAGTCAACGATGGCCAGTTTACCCCAATGCTTAATTCAGTAGTTTTCTTGACTTCTGGGTTGGTTTCAAAATTACAAGGCTACGGAGCTGAACATTAATAGTTGTGAGCTCAGAGTTGGGTTGGCTGTTCAAAGACGGTTCTCAAATTAAAAATATTCTTCAGACCGCACAATGTTATGTCTTTCTGATCTTTATTGTTTTGTGGGGTTGTTTAGTATCTTTGTTAGAGTCCCTACTTAAACTCTAAAAAGAAATATAACTCTAGGAAAGCGTTCCACATGAAAATGTTTCCGAGAACGGGTTATAGGTTTCTTCATAAATAACGCTAAGTTTAAATAAATAACTATCTTTATTAACATTTAGGAAACTTGTAAATTTAATTAAAACATTTTAACATATATAAAACTTAACCACTTTAACATTGAGGTAGCATAGAAATAAACTGTGAAAAGGTAACCGGCGAGAACATGCCGAATTGCTAGCTAGAACCGACGGGGAGAGAGAGCAAGCTGTGAGGATGCGGCCAAGTTATATCCAAAACATACTGTGCGCGTTTTACTGATTTCGCCCTTCACGCATATCTCCATTCAGGTATGAGGTTTACGTCAATTACCGGCTGCAAGCTACGTAGTCCAACGTCAGAGATTCGTAGTTCGGACTTTGCATTTCAGACCGCAACGCCACAGTTTCTTCTTCTTTAATTGATTTTTAAAATCATCAATCATTTTTGGGACACCACTCTGAAATTGAAGTAATTTGATTAGTCATTTCTTGTAAAGTACTTTATATGTTAAGCCCTTGCAACTTACAGTATAATACTTAGAATGAAATAAATACTGTTGTTAAACAAAGATCTACTGTTTTTTTTTTTTTTTTTTTTTTTTTTTTTTTTTTTTTTTTTTTTTTTTTTTTTT